ATATATATATATATATATATATATATATATGTATATATATATATGTATATATACATATATATATATGTATATATACATATGTATATGTATATACAAATATTGTGTACACTCTTTTCAATTAGGGTTACATTGAAATATACAATATATATTTATTTTCAAATTCCAAAACATTGTTTTGGGGAATTAAAATCCCTGATGTGAAGTCAGAACAAACCTACAGTATCTTCAAAGAAACATATCGATCTTGAAAATGTATTTGCATTTGAAAGTATTTACAGTGAAATGTTTGTCTCACAAAAATGATCAGTTTGAAAAAAGTTGCACAATTGTTGCATTGCCATGTAGAACACAAAGTTTGATCATCAAATAATTTAAAGTAATTTTAAAGCAAAACATATCCCCCCCCCCAATTGTTTCAAATGGTCGAGAGGTGGATGGAATTTTTGAATGGATCATATTTGAAGTCGTCTCTTCAAGTAGGAAATTACATCCAGCTTTTATGAATTGTTGCTGCTTATCTTTACAGGACACAAATCACATCTTTGAAAGAGAGAAAGTAATAAGTGTGAATGGCAGTAGTGTCCACCTCAACCCACCAGTAGAAGAGCATGACGCTGATAGAAGTGGACACTCTGTGGGTACGTGCACAGACTCCTGACCTCCTCCTGTCTGTGAGCACACCGCCGGAAGAGAAATGACTTGCTGTTGTATTGCTTCTAATTACGATCCCCCCCATGACATGACTTCCAGACCCGCCGTCGTCTATAAACTCAACACCTCGTGATTAAAAAGCGTTTCCGTCATAAAAAGAGAAGACGGGTAGTAAAGGGGAACATGATGAAGGGTGGAGACGTGCTCAGCGTGCTGCTAAAACCGGCCTCAGGTGGAGATTGCTCTGACACGCAAGCTGTGACCGCTGAGAACGTCACCAAAGCTACCGGGGGCAATTAAACAGGCAGCCCGGCCCCACGTCTCACTGTAACGCTCACATATTCTGCCCATCACTGCCTCCCTAAAGTGATTACCTTATCGGAGAGCGAGGCAGAGTATGGGGGGGGGGGGTCTTGTATGAATCATACCGCAATCAGGGATGAGTAAACAAAGAGTTGGACTGCAGAGGCTCTGCTTCTGGGTAAATCAGATTTATTTTGGTTTATGTCTTTCTTCTGTTATAGAACCCACTTTTCCTAAAACAATGTCGGCATTATTAACCAGGAACACCAGTGTGTTTCTTTCCTGTTTTCACCACGATGCAGCCTGAGACCTTCCGGGACCTGCATTGATTGTCAGGCTGTATTAGATAAATACGTCTATAGAGGCTTTTCACAGAGGACCTTTTAAACGTCCGTTTCTCATCAATGATGGGAGGATGTTTGCATTTCAGAAATGCAGTATATGAAGTGAAATCACGGCCCAGACCAGTACGTCCATCCGGTCCATTCCCGTCAACAATATCTCAGCAACACCTTTGAGGAATTTATTTATCGGAAACGCCCTCTTGGACTCAAGGATGAACTAATTAGAAGGTGGTGATCACAAAACACTTTTTTGATCTTAACTCAAGAATAGGGTAAAATGCTAAAGTGATGACCTCTTGTAAAGACTTGGAAGTAAACTGCAACCCGACTGGTTGATGATTAGAGATGCATGTTATTGTAAGCAAGGTGCAGTGTGACACGCTGACACCCTTTATTTCAGTGTTTCACCTGCATCACTACTGCACAGAATCTGCGTTTTCATGGGAAAGTGGTTAGTTAGGACGGGTGCAAAGCCTCTGTTAAGTACTGTTTTATTCAAGTCGACTTTTTATTGTAAGATTCAAACAACTGCACGGCCAAAGCCTACTTCCAGAATACGTGAGCAGTCTGGCTCTACTGGAACAGGTAATACGGCTGAACTCAACAGCATCACTGAAACACAAATGTGATGAGTGGAGGGATTGATCGCCATCGCTAGATTCATGCCAGCTGTCCCTCCAATTCTAAGTAGATATTTCGGTCTAACCGGAATATCTGGTGATGTCATGATGTCTCTGATGTCGTTATTGTAGAGGACGGTTTGTGAAAGGGGACAGTGCACAGCGGAGGAAATGAGCAGTATGGAAAGCATTTCTAGCTAATTCATGAAATGGATTCTGTGGCTACGGTTAGCAGCAAACCTCTTTGATTTCATGACGACGGTAAGCGCTGATTTTCAGATAAGTCTTCCAGGGAACGTGGTCACGTCAAGCCTGGTAAATCAGGCCTCATGTCTGTGTCACGGGCCTGAAACCGGAAACCCACGTCAGCCCCACTGGCCCATATATCATGGCTGGGAACCCAGTAGCAGTGTAGAAAGGAAGTAAACGTGCGCCCACTTACTTGAGAGTGGACTGAGCCCGGGGCCTTTTCCTCTCTTATCGACCACATGCATTAGCAGAGAAAATGGTGTCTGGAGCTCCGGGAGAAGGAGGAAGCATTTTCATAGAGACCACACCAGATATATTGTTCTTGTGAGAGCACGATACCACGGACTGTGGTATTAAGTTCAATATTTGATTTCAATACCTGAGTTTGACAGATTCTTTTGGAAAAAAAACAAGCAATTAGCATTTATGTATCTGATATTTTGCCTTTTAAGACTGTATTTGTAAAATGTCTCTAAATCATGAAAATCACGGCTTTATTTGTTTCTGAAAGCATTTTTCTGCAGAACTCTCATTTCTGCATGTTGTTTTTTTTGCGAGTATTATAGTTCTTGTGGCTCTGTTGTCAGATCAAATGCATCATTCCAGAAGTGAAACATCTGGACAAGAAAGAAGTTATGAAATATAAATCATCAATGTATCAAAAAGTCCTGTGTTCACTTTCAGACATTTCAGGCATTGTTTTGTCTGATTCATGACGATGCATAACCTTCATAACAGCAGAATACATTTGATAACATGGTAACAGCGAACAGATGTTTGTCATCATGATGGAGTGAGTGAGTGCCTATATGCCCCTACCAGACCAGAATATGACATTTAAATTATAATAATATTGATTATAATTTTAGTAATTGATGTATAAGGGAAAAGGTTATTTTCCAGTTTGAGTAGAAAGATGTCAATTTGAATTTGTTTCATTTTGATTCGTGCTAAACGGACAAACCTGTGACTTACAATACAAATACTTTAAATTAGATCATCCGTCAGTGTGGACTAAATGAATATTGTGAGATCCACTGAGGTCAGTAGGCTGACAAAGATGAAGTGAGATCCTGATGAAGTGCAGCTGAGGCTGACGGTGGTTTCACAGCGACGCTGTTGAAAGATGAGCCGAGTCTGACGAGCTGAGTGTGAGCTGTCCTAAGATGGCCACTGCTAGGTAACAACGTGGCTTTTTAATCTGGCACTGCCGTCAGGCAAGTAAGAATAAAATCCAATATTTAATTGCCATGTCAGCACAGTTGATGGGATTGTTCCTCAGTACATTTGTTTTATACTGCGTGTTCCTTTGTGCCGCTACCTCTCTATTTTTAAAATGTTGTTCTACGACTAAAGATGCTTGTGCGTCTGAGTTTAAGTGTGGAACAACCTCAGGATATGTGTTACTCCTGCAGCGACATTGTCCTTCACCTGAAACTCTGGAATGTCCTTCCGGAGGGGAGGGATTTGTAGAGGGCAGAGCAAAATAGTTTCTTTTTTTTAACCTGACAACTTTGCGCTTTGGTGTGTAATTAGTGTTGCAGCCTCACAGAGCCTCCAGCAGGGCCGTGAAGGAGCAGTGCTGAAGATTCATCATGAATCTGGCTTTTTGGAAATGTATGCAGATTGGCACATATTGATAAGATTAAAAGTACATTTTCAGAAAAGTTGTAATCCATAAAATAACTGTCTTCATGTAAGTAAACAACTTGGGAAGTTTTTGTGTGTTTTGTGTAGTAGCTTAAATGTTTACCCTATTTACTGTAGTGTCTCTCCTTAATGTGGGCAAAGAGCCTGCGGTTAGGTTGAAATGTCATTTTGCAATAACACGATGTCTGAGTTTCAGTCAATGCAGGAGAGGAAAATGTTGTCCCAGCATTCAGTGTTCATCTTCCAGAAGCTGCCAGACGGTTTCTTGTCCCCTTGTGTCTGATGCTTTGCTGTAGTGCAGAGGCCCAAACACTACCTGTGACTGTTGGTTCACAAAGAGAAGACGACCCGGGCCTTCCCAGTTCTATCAGCACAACACGTCACTGCGCAGATACGGTTTCACGTGGGCGGCTCTCTGACTCGTGTTCCTTGTCCTGTCTTTCAGCCATCGCCAACCCCAAGCAGGCCAAAGACAACAAGAGCTTCAACTTTGATTACTCCTACTGGTCCCACACCTCGGTAAGTCTCTCTGCACCCCCACAGCGTGAATGTTGTACTGACACCCCAACAAAGACACACATGTGCATCACTGTGGATGCTTTATGTAGGGCTGGCCTTCATGGCTGCAATCTAATAGATTTGATATCTGGATTACAATATATATATATAGCACATTTTCTGGTAGCTCAATGAATACATAGTCAATATGAAAGAACCACATGGTAAAGCCTTGTATATTCCTGTGAATTAAATACCTGACAAACTTACTCAGTGTTTTATCACTTTATTAAGAACTTTTGTGTGAATTGAACATAACAGTCAGTGACATTATAGAGAAAAAAAATATTTCATTCACTGTTTACATGAATGCACACAAATACAGTTCGGTCAGATTTAGACAATTGTTTGATTTAACAGATTTGAAATTTGAGTTAGTGTGTGCTTTTTATTAAAGGTTTACACAACGTACTTGATATATGATTTCATCACAATACGATTCCACTGAACAATGATAAACGATCACATTGAATTATCGCCCAGCCCTAACTTTATCGTGTGTCAGGTTTACGAGAAAGTTTAAGATTTAAGTGGCTGATTATTGATCTCTGTCCGCAGCCAGAGGACATCAATTTTGCCTCTCAGGTGCAAGTGTACAAAGACATCGGAGAGGAAATGTTGCTGCATGCCTTCGAGGGATACAACGTCTGCATCTTCGCTTACGGCCAGACGGGCTCTGGCAAGTCCTACACCATGATGGGGAAACAGGATGTCAAGGATCAACAAGGGATCATTCCTCTGGTACAGACTTACTGTGATTACTGGACCAGTGGTGATGATAAATCAAAGGGGAGATGATGTGACTATAACGTTCATATTTGTCTTCTTCCAGCTGTGTGAAGATCTTTTCACTAAGTTCAATGACAATGCAGGCAACAGCATGTCTTATTCTGTGGAGGTAAGCATCAGATTCTCTCTGTCATGGGCTCCTCCTGTTTATTACATTTATTCATCATTGATCTCACACAATCAGAATACATTTACTGTACGAGCTTATTTCCATGTGCAGTCCCTGGGCATGTTGACACAAACACCTAATGCAGTTGATACAAATAGAGGTCTGCTCTATGTGCTGAGCTAATATAATGATTCTGAACAGGTAAGCTACATGGAAATCTACTGTGAACGTGTGCGAGATTTACTGAACCCCAAGAACAAAGGGAACCTGCGCGTTCGAGAGCATCCTCTGATGGGACCTTATGTGGAGGACCTGTCCAAACTGGCTGTCACCTCCTACAACGACATCCAGGACCTGATGGACTCGGGCAACAAGGCCAGGTGATGGAGCTGTTTATGCATTCAGGCCCTTCACCGTTGTTATCGATAATATGGTGAAATATACCATATATGGTTCAGATTCAAGGTCCTGAAGGTCAAAAACTAAAGCTCTTTATAATGTATATTAAGGTTCAGCAGATTATTATGTTCTATCTATTTCAATTCGAATTCTGTTTATTAAGTTTGTCAGACCTACAGTAGAAATATCAGGACTAGTATTTTGCTCTGTCACAGTAAGAGACTCATTGTGGAGCAAACAGCTGATGAACGTGTCTCCATTGTGTCCACAGGACTGTGGCCGCCACCAACATGAACGAGACGAGCAGCCGCTCGCATGCCGTCTTCAACATCATATTCACTCAGAAGCGCCACGATGCCGAGACTGATAACACCTCTGAGAAGGTCGGGTTCTATCCCATCCCGACTGCATTTATTTAACATTGAGCTGCTGCCACTGCTTATCAATGAGCTGATTGATGACGCTGATTTAAATCTCGTCGTAAATGGGAAATCAATGATTGCTTGAAGGTCGTACTGTAATTATAAGGTTACGTTGCGCAGATGTTTTTTTAATGAGACCCGTCTCCTGAATAACGATGAATAGCTTTAGGGGTTGTTTCTGTTTGTGTAGTTTAAATAACGGAGTCCGTTTATTGGATGTTCTGTTGCAGGTCAGTAAGATAAGTTTGGTGGATTTGGCCGGCAGTGAGAGGGCTGACTCTACTGGAGCCAAAGGGACCAGGCTTAAGGTGAAGTGTTTCCTACTAATGCATTTTTGATATTAAAAACACAGATATAAAAACACATTTCCTCTCTGAATATGCCTACAATATATGTCAATATTAAAACAGTGAATCACTGTGTTTACTTGTTAATATCATCATCTGCTTCTTGCTCTATCGCAGGAAGGAGCAAATATCAACAAATCTCTAACTACACTGGGGAAAGTCATCTCTGCTTTGGCAGAAGTGGTATGTATTATATCTGCATGCTGTATATTATGAGACAAAGCAGATGTTATCAAGGATACACAAGTCAATTTTACTGTCTACTTCCTTTCAGGACTCTGGCTCAAATAAGGTAATTTGTTTAACTTTAAAAAATTGTTATTCATTTGTTTTTCTTAACGCAAATGCCAATAAATACATTGATTTTGAATGTGGTGTTTTAATTTGATACACAGAATAAAAAGAAGAAGAAGGTGGAAAACTTCATCCCCTACAGAGATTCAGTTTTGACCTGGTTACTGAGAGAAAATTTGGGTATGAGCACAATATTTCGGTGCTCCCAGTGATCCATTAGACCTTGACAAACTGAAACTAAAGGGTTTGCCTTCATTCTGTCAGGGGGGAATTCTCGTACTGCGATGGTAGCGGCCCTGAGTCCAGCTGACATCAACTACGACGAGACCCTCAGCACACTCAGGTAGAGAACGCATCTTCTGCTGCGTCTTTTTTCCCTCCCACACAGCCGCTCAGGGACAACAATGTCATTGAGTCCAAAGTGTTGCGAAATACACGTTTTCCCTCAGTGGCTTGCATCACTTTCACACTTCACACTTCACCCTTCATGAGTTGCAGCTGCAGTGCCAAACTGCAGAATCCTGCGAATTTGTCTCCTCCGTCACCTGTGTTGCATGCTCAATGATCCCTCCCTCATGTCCGTAGGTACGCAGACCGCGCCAAACAGATCCGCTGCAACGCTGTGATCAACGAGGATCCCAACAACCGATTGGTGCGCGAGCTGAAGGAGGAGGTGTCCCGTCTGAAAGAGCTCCTCTTCTCCCAGGGCCTGGGTGACATCATTGACAGTAAGGGACCATTTGTTTGATTTATGTGAGCATTAGTCCATCTCTGGATTTTAATTTCAAACATTTTTTTAAATTTGGTTTTACATCCTTTTCGTTAGTGTGCACACTTTTCTCAATGATACAGTGTTGAAACAACACGAAATATATTAAGAGCCAGTGCAGAAAAATCAATAGGAAGACGACGTGAATGGAGATGAACAGCGACTGATTCTCTTTAGACTGCAGTTGCAGTGCAGTTTACTCCCATGATGTGGCAGAAAAACAGGCAGGGTGGGAAATTGTGTGGGCGGGGTTTCAAGCATTGGCTACTGGAGCTAGCACGTCAAGCTAGCTAACATTAGCATGTAATAGTAATGAACGTCTGTTACAAACAGGAGGTGTGGAGTTTAAAATTGTGGGCATTTACCTGGCACAGAGGGTCTGATTATTAAAAGTGTAAGATCTAGCTATTTTGTTCAAATAACACCGGTCAACAACAAGAAGTGAATGTGACTTGTCTGCTTCTTCATTGACTAAAAGAGATGCGAATTCTGGTCTACACATCTTTACAGAAGCCCCGAGAGGGAAGTGAGAAACAAATATGTTTAAGTTTATGTTTAAGTTCCTTATATTGTTTTCATCTGTGAAACAGGTGAATTTGAATATACATAACTTGCTGACACATACAATATGTACCTTGTGTTTAGAGTGCACGGTGAAATTAAAATTCACCTGGAAGAAAACACGAATGCTTTTAGTCCTATTTAGAACACGGGGTAGTGGTGCGCTTCCACTTCTTGTGGCCAAAATATGTATTACAACAACACACCTGACAAATACAATCACCTGGAAAAACTGTTAACTTACTTGCCTCTCAGGGCTTCCGTACATCCCCAACTTTGTCATAAAATATTTTTTATTCCCAGATTTCGGTCCATGAACATTGTTATCTAAAGGTGTTACGATGTCTCTCTGTCACTCTTTCTCTTCTCTTCTCCCAGCATTTCGAGGGTCTGGTGCTGACATAGAGGGTTTGAAATGTGTGTTTACTGGCTATTGCTTTTGCTCTTGTGGCAGCTTAGCATCACCGGCACTTAATGTGACAGGAAAAAGTTGCTCTTTTTCTGTGTTCTTTGCAGCACCGCAATATCACAAAGCATTGATCAGAATGTTCTAGGCGAGTCGCACTGAAATACAAATGCTAATGCAATACAAGCAGCCTGCAGTCTTAGGGTGATTTTTTAAGCTTTGTCATTTTGGCTCTAATCTTCAGCTCCTAATGGGACGAATGTGCCGTGTCATGGTGCTGCAGAGATCTGTGTATGGCTTCGTAGCTGTAGCATTGGCGGGAAAAAGCTTAATTGTTCATGAAGCAACAAAGCAGAGCCTCACAATGTGATTATAGACCATAATGAGTTATGTTTCCTCCCTATCTATGATTTCCCTCATGTAGAAACTGTAGCTTCCCCTTCCCCTGGCAGGGGGACTCTATCGCCCCCTGTCGGCAGCCATATGTGATGAGTCAGCCTTCAGCCACAGAGAGTGTAATCACTTCCATAATATTGCAACTTTAAGGAAGTCATATCGTTTTATGAGTCTTTCTATAACACATGACTTCATTAACTGCACTGCGCAGGCAATATTATGAAATCCATCTTGGCGGCCGACAGCCTGTCCAGATGGATGTGTGTGATACACTTATTGCTCTGTGGTTGCTATAGCAGCAGCTGCAGAGTCGATATTCTTTTCTTTCATCGACTCTATCACAGGCCTTCAAAATCCCAGGATAAAACACTGAAAATGTGATTTAAGAACTACAAAAATGGATTACTGCTTTCAGTCATTTGTTTGACGTTTCTAACGTTAGAGAAGCGCACTGAGCAGCAAGATGCATCTTGCTGCTTTTAGGTAATAATCCTAATTGAGAGTTCAAGCTTCCCGATTTTCTATGCAGAAAAACATGAACCTATTACAAATGAGTCATTAAGTTTCTGCACAAATGAGCTTATGATATATTTAATTGTCCATACATGATGACTCATTTTGTTTTCGTTGCTTGGCAATGAGCAATAGCATCCCGATCTCATACTCGGGTTTATTTCTGAAATGGCGGAGGAACGATATAAATATATAGCAACTTAAAAAACAGATTTTCCTGTTTGTGAATGTTCCTGCATATGACGCACGGCTTGAAGTTTTCGTATCATAGCTGCATTTTCTTTCGTCATGGCTGGATGGCCTCCCTGTTGCATCTTTTAAGTTGCTCTTTTCTGCTCGTGGCTTTCTGCTGCTGCTGCCCTCGCTTGTATACTCGAAGATAACATTTCTCTCTGTGAGTTAGATTTGTTTCAAGCCACGTATCTTCTTTCTTTTTCTATTCTCCCTTCTCTTCTCTTCCTTATCTGTTTGCATTTCTCCATTTCTTTATTCCCCCGTTAGCGATTACCCCGACCCCACTTCCTGTACACCCCCCGTGCCCCCCACCCCCGACAGACCTTTCCGATCACAAGAACAATAACAATAAAGGCCAAGCTGTGAATCAAAGAGATGATTTCTCCACAGTGACGAATGCCATGACGGGGATGAGTCCCTCTCCGTCTCTCTCAGTCTTGTCCAGCCGCGCCGGATCCATCGCCAGTCTTCATGACCGCATCATGTTCAGCCCGGGCAGCGAAGAGGCCATCGAGAGGCTGAAGGTGAGCGCTGGTGGAAATGCTGTTCTGTCCATCTGTAAACCCACACTCTGCATTGACACAGTGTAAATACAGACTGGATATTCCCAAAGTTGCATATTGTTCATCATCGTATGCAGATAAGTCTTCAGTGTGCTCTCTAAGCATTTTACTCATAACCTCGTCCAAGTGTAAGGCTGGCAATATTCTATATTATTGCTATTGCTGGCAAATCTCATGAGTGGACCAAAACTAACAATGCATTAATCTGTTTATCAATATGGTCTGTTTGGCCCATTAATTCCTACTTAAATGATAAATCTTTGAGTATTTAGAGGGATGACGGGAGAAAGATAAAAAAACAGTCGCACACTGCAAGTTTTCAAAGTTACTCAAACAGGAGTAAATTGTGATTTTGTTGAGGACTATTTTCAGTCATGGATCTGGTGCTAGATTGAGTATTTATGCCCGGCAGAACCATGCATTGCTCAAAAGTTAACTACAGTGCCCACATTCATCTTAACCAGTGGCTCATTGATGTGTTTTTAATAGTTTTTGAACAACAATGGAGCTTTGAGGCACAGAGGAAGAAGACATATCGGGCTTTGAATATAGCACATAATAATTGTCAGTGCATCAATTAATTGTTTGGTCTTTTCATGGGATTTGTTGGCAAAAACAAAAATATAAAACACTAGACATGTATTAATTACCCCTGTCTTTTGAAATGTCAGGAAACCGAGAAAATCATTGCTGAACTCAATGAGACTTGGGAAGAGAAACTTCGCCGAACGGAAGCCATTAGAATGGAAAGGTGAGATATACCATAGGCCTATATTTATATATACATATATAAATATATAATATACATTTTTATTTACTTTATTTTATTAGTAAAAATCCTTCTTGGGATTCAGTTTTTCTCTTAGAAAAGACAAATAAATTGTGAAAAAAGACAACAATTCATGCACACAGAGACAACAAGCTTATAACAGAAAACAGTTTAAAAAGACAAGTTGATACTAGTAAAATATAATATATTTTATAACATAGTCAATAATCCTGTTTTTCTTGTCTATAAAATGTGTTCATCTTAAAATGACTATAACTTATGAAGAAGAGCAGCTTTATAGCATATATAGTGTTTCCTCTTGACCTAAGGTTGTTGCTACTTATTGAGTATTTAGCAAATCAGTATGCACTTGTACAGAAAAATTAATCACTTTGCATTTGACCAGCATGTAAATGATATTGTTGTGTGAGGCATCTTGAAATACGACAAATCCTGCAGCCGCTTGGTTCACTGAGTCGTGCATTCGTCCACAGAGAGGCCTTGCTGGCAGAAATGGGTGTAGCAATGCGAGAAGATGGCGGGACGGTCGGCGTGTTCTCTCCCAAGAAGGTAAGAAGACATGAGGCATCTGCAAAACTCTCCTCTGTGATCTAACACTTACCATTCATATTATTCACTGAAATGCTTGTTTATTTACCCCAAAGCCCTCCAATAGCCCTAGAAAGCCCCAGCCTGTGTTTATCGACACAGTCGGGCTGTTTTCCCCCAACGAGGTTTGTAGCTGTGAAGTGTTTAAAGCTGCCTCCCTCTCTTGAGTGCTCTGAAGCCTCACTTCAACACGAGCCTCGCCGAGGCTGAGCAGTAGAGGGTTTCTCTTTTTTCATTAAAGTCTTATCTGAAATCTTCTTCATTAGTCACTTCAAACACTCCCTCGCAACGCCGAAGGCAGCAATGGGTGTAAACATGGCAGGGTGGGGTGTGTGTGTGTGTGTGTGTGGGGGGGGGGGGGGGGGGGGGGGGGGTAGTGCCCCCATTTCAGTGATTTTTTGGCTGTTTTCCTGCAGCCCTAAAACATCAGACTGAGACTAACACTCATGCGGTGAAGCTGTGGGGAGTGAATTTGACTGCATGGCTTTAACTATATCTGATTGTTTTTTCAGCTCTCTGGTGTGCAGTGTATGCATATGTTATATTGTAAATAACATGGATAATGAATAATTTATGTGTATTACTAACCACATTTTTACGGTTAGTAAATGATTCCTTTTTCTGCGTTAGACACCTCATCTGGTGAATCTCAACGAGGATCCTCTGATGTCCGAGTGCCTGCTCTACTACATTAAAGACGGCATCACCAGGTTAGATGTTGTCAGACATTTAACAATCTTTACTCAAGTGCTTCTTGCATTTTCAGTTGTCATATTGAATCAGGAATTGATTTACTTTTTTAGGGTAGGTCGTGTAGACGCCAGCAGTCGTCAGGATATAGTCCTCAGCGGCCACTTCATCAAGGATGAGCACTGCACCTTCACCAGTTCTACTGGCCCTACAAGAGAAAGTGAGCGACCTTTATCTTCCTCCATGTGCTTTTAGTCGTGTACGTCACAGTTTGATATTGACAGACAGGAAGTGAAGCCTCATATTGCCCTCTCTGTTCGTAATTAGTAGTTGTCCTGGAGCCGTGTGAAGGAGCTGAGACTTACGTCAACGGAAAGAGAGTGACCGAGCCCACTGTCCTCATATCAGGTCAGTAAGCTCTCTGTGACTTTAAGATGAGATAACATAAGATAATCCTTTATTAATCCCGCAGTGGGGAAGTTTACAGGATCACAGCAGCAAAGTGGACAGTGCAAACAAGGTACATGGTAAAAAACAAAAACACAAGAGCAGCAAGTATTATAAATAAGTAATAAACAGTAAAGAATATCAACTAAGTAAAAAGTACAAAAATCCACAATAACTAAAACTCACCTCTCCTTATGCATGGGTACCTATTAGAAACGCGTGTGTTGTATGCTCTACGTGTGTGCCATTTTGACTTCTTATTCACGTAAAGGAAATCGCATCATCCTGGGGAAGAGCCACGTGTTCCGGTTCAACCACCCTGTGCAGGCCAGGGCCGAGAGGGAGAGGACGCCGTGTGCAGAAACCCCTGCTGAGCCCGTGGACTGGGCCTTCGCCCAGAGGGAGCTGCTGGACAAACAGGGCATTGACATGAAACAGGAAATGGAGCAGAGGTACTTTGGGGGGAAATAGTGAGCCTTTTATTTATTCATTCATACCTGAATTTTTCAAGAAAGCCTGTGTAGGTAGCAGATCGTCTCACCAGCGTATTGTAGACGGGAACAACAGATACGAAAGCAAACTACAGGTGACACTGAAACCTTGCAGCACAGAGCAGAGTAAATGGCATGCTGCTCCAGCAACATCAGAGCAGTGTTTCCTTTGAAACAAACGCGTTTTTTTGTCTTCAGATTGCAGGAGTTGGAGGACCAGTATCGCAAAGAAAGAGAGGAAGCCAACAACCTTCTGGAGCAGCAAAGACTGGTACAGTGATGAGCAGCTTTGTGTGCATTATCTAAAGGTGTTTATTTAAGTAGTCGAGGTTACAAAAATGTAAAAATTCTAAAACAAAACTTCCTACAATGAAAACAAGCCTCAAGGTATTTTTTCTATGTTATACATACAACAACATTAGTATTTTTGTAATGACTTTTTGTTTCAACAGTTATGCCTATATACCGAACAGTTTACTCACTGACATCTGTTCCTAAATGTCTTCTTTGACATGGGTCTTCATTATTTAATTGTCTAGGATTATGAGAGCAAGCTGGAGGCTCTTCAGAAGCAAGTGGACAGTTACTACCCAGAAACCCTTGATGAAGAGGAAGAGCCAGAGGAGGAAGGTAGTGCAAAGGACTGGACACGTGCCACATATCTATGTTGGTAGTAAGCAAATCCTCACCAAAAGATTGTGTTTTGTCCTTTTTTTTTGGCCCACAGTGCAATGGACAGAGAGGGAAACGGAGCTGGCTGTGTGGAGCTTTCGTAAGTGGCGGTGCTACCAGTTCACCTCTCTCCGTGACCTGTTATGGGGCAATGCCATCTTCCTTAAGGAGGCCAATGCCATCAGCGTGGAGCTCAAGAAGAAGGTGCAACATGTTATCATTTCAACTTACAGTAGATCCACAGATGGATGTTATAACACGTCTCTCTGACCACACCAATGCTTGTGCTGTGCCCTTGCAGGTCCAGTTCCAGTTTGTGCTGCTCACAGACACACTCTATTCCCCGCTGCCTCCAGACCTGTTGCCCCCAGAGGCTACCAAGGACAGAGAGAAGCGACACTTCCCACGCACCATTGTGGCAGTGGAGGTGCAGGATCAGAAAAATGGAGCCACCCACTATTGGACACTGGAAAAACTAAGGTTACATGACAATGTTTTTAAAAGTCTGATTCAAAAATACTGCGAATATACTGTCATTGTAAAATATAATAATGTAAAGAAAACAGTAAAAACAACATTTTCAAAAAAAAATGGAACAAAAAGTATAGATTCAGTAATCAGTAATATCACAGTAACTCCATGCCGGGCCTCGTTTTAGCTCAGTGACTTAATGTGGCGACTGTTTGCTGCTTCTTGCAGGCAGAGGCTGGAGCTGATGAGAGAGATGTACGATCGCGCTGCTGATGTGCCCAACAATACCGCTGAAGACGGTGAAAATGTGAAGACCGGAGGGGACCCCTTTTATGACCGCTTCCCTTGGTTCCGTCTGGTTGGCAGGTAAATGCTGCGAAACATTGGCCCTATGCAGTATGTGGACAGGGCAGGAAGGCGTTCATGCTGAACTCGTATAAAAGGTCCCAGTGTTAGACATTCCATTCGGGACAATGGGAGGCTGTTAACTACCACATATTGTGCATACTGGTCAACTGATGGACCATAATGACTGAGACAACAGCACGAAGCAGTCTGCAGCCAACTTCATTACAGAGTCTCTGTCATGACATGCTGATGTCTGGTGTTCCCAGTCTGTGCACCACTGTCATGAAATCTCTCCATTACAGCTGATATTGAAAATTGATTCATAACAAACCTATGCCATATCTTCTCATAACCGAAAAGCCTTAACTCGGTACTGTCAATTTTTTACTTTTCCAGATTCTATGTGCTTTGTAAATGAATGAAGTCATGAACACGGAGAGATTTGACAGCCAATTGAAATGATCAGTAAATGCTAGTTCATGCCAGGCTCGTCTTTTTTTTAATGGGAAAAATCATCTGTGGAACATTTCAGATCGACATTTCTTCAGTCCTCCCACTCAAAGCCTGCTGATTCTTTCTCTCCCACTTTGGCACACAGCCTCTCAATCTCTTTGCCAAGCTCTCTCTCTCTCTCTCTCTCTCTCTCTCTCTCTCTCTCTCTCTCGTAAACAGGTCCCCACACAGTGTCACATGGCCCTGTTACATAATATTCAGCATCAAGCCTTTAATGTCATTTAGCTCCTGCAAGACAAGCAAAAATGAATGGGCGGTAATCTGAAATATGTCGTCTGTCAGCTCATTTTGATTTCTACAGAAGCCCTGAGAGGAGAGTGAGAAAGTCTTTCCAAGTCTGATCTAAATTGTTCTCTCCTGTGTTTATGACGTAAGAACATGTGAAAATGAATTTCCCAGCTTAATCTTTCTAAGTTCCTTAAAAAACGAATTTTCATCTGTGAAACAGAGGGAAAATTTTTTTGCCAGATGAAAAAACATTTCTCAGGATCATTTTGTGTTTTGTTGTTGTAATACTCATCTCGGCCACAAAAGGCTAAAGTGCACCACTACCCCATGTTTTTTTTATAGGACTAAAAGCATTAGTCTTTTCTTCCAGGTGAGTTTTAATTTCAACATGCACTCTGAAAACCAGGCACATATATTGTGTGTTAGCAAGTTCTGTAAATTAAAACCAAAAGTTGATGGCGGTCAGCACGCCCCCAGTTTGGTGAAGCAGACAAGAGTACCAGCGCAGCAGGGTGCTGCCGAGGACGGGGGCAGCAGCAAAACATATTTTAGCCTCCAAAAATAATCTATCAGTTTAAGTGTACGCTATAATTAGAATATTTTCACAGCTTTACCTTGCCATCAGACAGCAGGGCACTGAAGCCATCTACTCTCTCTTCAATGCCACAAGACTCCTTTGACAAAAACGATTTACCTCACAGAACACGGGAGTCACTCGATAGGTTAGCTGTTTTGTGTCATTTGATTACTTTAAATAGTCCCGTTTTCTGTGAGGTAAAATTACTGTTTGGGTCAAAGGAGTTTAGTGGCCTTGAAGAGGGCATAGATGGATATAACGGCTTCAGTAAACTTCAGAATGGGTTGTCTGAGGGTAAAATGAAGCGGTGCAATTATACAGCATACACTTTATTTTTTAGGTGTCTAAAATAAGTTTTGCTGCTGCCCTTGTCCACAGCAGTACACCACTTTGCCCCTGTGCTGGTAGTCCCGTCTGCTTCTACAAACTCCGTACCTCATACAACCCTACCTCAAAAACATCTGAACTGTCCCTTTAAAGGGAGGCAGCTTTTCTCCTGTGGTCCAGTCCATCTATGGTGCTCTACTGCCCCTCTTGTTTGAACAAGTGTGTGCTTTCTATCCAACTGTTCTAACCTAGTTCCCATGTCTCTGGCTGCACCAGAAACCCCATTTTCAACACGTGCATGAGCGAGCGCATGAGTGACCCCACCCCATCCCCGACCCTCTCCACCTCTGAAATTACTGAGCTGGCTGACCCGCAGCGAGAGGGTCGAGGGGAGGAGGAGGAGTTGGAGGAGTTGGAGGAGTTGAAGGAGTTGAAGGAGTTGGAGGACCTGGACGATGATATCTTTTTGGACGACCCGTGCTCGGAGCTTGGGGGAGAGGATGATGATGATGATGATGATGATGTGGATGATGATGAGGGAGAACTCTGCCGAGGCTCCGGCGAAGGCCAGGATCCCTTTTACGACCGCTCACCATTATTCAGTGTAGTGGGAAGGTTGGTGAGGTTTCGGGAGCATGCTGGTTGGAGGAAACTAGCTCTTTCACGCTGAGACACAGGGTCCGTTTGCCTCGGTAGACATCAGCACAGATGACATGACAATATTTAAAAACGCAGTTCACAATACAGAAACATTGTTCCCTCACAAAGTCCTCAAAGTCCTGTGTGCATGGCTACATGAAATTTACATTTCATGTTCTGTCCAGTTGGGACGAGTAACCTATAGCTGTAATATCAACATGGAGCATTTTAGTTGGATAGCATCAGTGGAGATTTGAAAACCGACGTGGAAATTTAATTAATTTCATTTCAATTTAGTTTCTATTCCCTGTCTTAGTTGTCATTGTGTCTCATGTTTGAGACACAAATGTTGTTAAATGTCAGACTACACAGCTTTTTTTTTTCATGAACATGATACCGAGTAGACATTTCTGGGCTTTATCCTTTAGCTCTCTATCTTTAATCTCATCAAATTTGACTGCTGCTTGATTTTTTTTGTTTTTGTTTTGGCTAACTGTTTCTTCACACTAACGCAGGCTAAAAGCTTCTCCAACATTTTACAATTCTACCTCTAAAACAAGTCAGTCCGGGGCGGGTCAGTTCATACCACTTGTTTTCATGGAAATTCAAGCAAAGTTGACGCTCAACGGCTGCTTGAGGTGTGTGTCTCACTTACGTGTGGCTAAAAGCAAACTGGTGGCTTTTACAGAAGACCATTCACTAGCCAGAGCACTGACATGTCTCATGGAGTACTATTCAGGTCTGATTTGCATAACACGGGAACCCACGGCGAAATGTTCTCACCACGCTGTGCCAACCTGAAAAAGCATGAAAGAGTCTGGAAATGATTCATGTGAAATGGCAAAGTGGTGTTCAAGGAAGACTCAAAATCTCAAGATGAAAGAGCTGGTTTCTACTGCAGCTGTCTCTTTTAGGCATGCCAGAGCACAAGTCTTTTCATTTTGACCTTTTTTGTCAATTTTTTTACTTGAATACGTCTGATGATGAACTAGTGCCCCTCTTTTGCACAAATTAGCACTTCGTCCCAGGAGGTGCACTTTGATTTCTGATGTCATTCGTTGTTTTTTTGTTGGTGTAGCATTCAGTGCATCAAGCTGTTGGCACTTTCTATTCAAGCTGAGCCATGTTCCGTATGATGATTTCTGTTCCATTTGCTTTTGGTTCCTTTGAGTCGAGACATTGAAAACATTTTTGTTCACCCGTTTTGTCCTGAGCATGCCTTCTTTGCACCTCACCAATCTTGTCATAAGCCACTCCCTTTTTAGACACTCGTCACCCCTTAATGTCTACCCCTATTGGCTGGAGGGAAATGTGGTCCTTGACTGCAAGAAACCAAGGTATAGGAACATTTCTAGTGCAGCTGTTCCCACTTTTATACTCTCAGAAGTAAGTCTCTGTCACTACCCAAGTATTTTCAAATCTAATGCAAAGACAAAGTGCCTCTGGTGCTCATTTTGGCTCTGTACATTTGATATGTAGTGTAGCGTTTTCATATTGAGCCACGTCCAAGATGCACTTGTTGGTGCAGTAGCACGTAATCATTAAGCAATGCAAAAAAAAAACACATTATTCCAGAAATAGAATTCATTGCTCATTAGGAAATCATCTGCTGTCCAGCTGAGTAGTGAGCTGGTTATTTTGCAATCATTTAAAGAATTCAAAGTTGACCCTTACACACATGCTCCTTAGCCTCACCAAGCTTTCATCAGTACAATGCAAAAGTTCAGCAATACTGCATGTGACCCATACTTGTCCTGACAATGTCATTATTTCTAGATGGTGAGGAAAGAAAAGCCCCCGCAAAGCGATAGTAAAGGGCAGCCATGGCCGTCGCAAGAGCAGTCCCAGCTTCTGTTTGGTTGCTTTGCAGCTCTGTGTTCTGTTGTCCAGTCCAGTGAGATTGTATCAAGTGTGAGCCGTCTCCTACGATCGGTTGTTTCTAATCTTTTATCATCTTTCTCTTTCTGCTTCCTGTTCAGGGCTTTTGTTTATCTGAGTAACCTGCTGTACCCGGTTCCTCTCGTCCACCGCGTGGCCATCGTCAGCGAGAGGGGTGAAGTGAAGGGCTTCCTCCGTGTGGCGGTGCAGGCCATATCAGGTAAGGCTCGCACCCTCAGCCTCGCCGCCGTTAAGACGAAGGGGGTGAGGTGGGATGGAAAGGGCAGGCTGTGTGTGACTTCTTGAGGGAGTGAAGTGAAGGTGCTTTGTGTTTTCCTCCAGCTGATGAGGAAGCTCCCGACTACGGATCAGGAGTGAGGCAGTCGGGCACTGCCAAGATCTCCTTTGAAGATCAGCAATATGAAAAGGTAGAGAAAATCACTCCCAAGTAGACCATGCAGCATTCACCTGTATATACCAACCTGCCAACCGGTCTGCCTTACGACTTTCTTTTGCAGTTCCAGTCCGAGACCTGCTCCGTAGGACTGTCCCGCACAGGGGTTTCACAGGAGGAGCTCCGTATCGTGGAGGGAGAGGGGCAGAACGCAGAACCTGGACCCTCAGCTGATGAGGTCAACAATAACACATGTGCGGGTAATCGTATTTTATGAGTGACTGGATGCATGTTTTGTGTGTTTGGGTATGTGTGTGTGTGTGTGTGTGTGTGTGTGTGTGTAGTAGGTATGGCCAAAATCTTCCATGGCGATATAGTTCATTTCATATCACTATGTAGCATGTTTTCTAGTAATTCAATAGATAAATAGTCTAAATATAATAACCACATGGTTTGGTGTACTCTTGTGTGAATTACATACTTGATAAATGTGAAGTACCGAGTATATTCTCCTTTAATTATGAACTTTGAGTTAGTACGTGTTTGTTATTGACAATTATGACGACATAATTGTGTACATGATTTCATCAGTCCTGCTCTCTGTCCTGCTGTCCGCCCGTCAAGTGCAGCTTGATCCGGGAAGAGTGATGGAGCCAGGTCTCTGTGAAGATGTGGTCTCGACAGTCACCGACCTCCTGCTGCTTTCATCCATCTTATCTTATTTTTTTATTCAGACATCCAGCAGTAGGCTGGGTCTTGGAGTAGCCTCACGTCCTAGCTGGGTTAGCTTAGCTTCCATCTCGGCTCTCCTGCCTCTCCTCCCTGGGGCAGTTTGGTGGCATTTGGATTAGGCCGAGTGTATAGTGGCCCACTCGGCCCAGAAGTGGGCCACTACACTAGACTCACGCTAAACTGATTCTTTCTGCGTAAGACTCACAATGGAATCCTAGAAAAACCTCATCCAGCCACTGTCCACAGCACAAGAAAACAACCGTGCACAGCCTGACTGGGCCGGCTCCCTAGAATGCCAGCTTCTACCTGTGTCTGATTTCTGTATTTCCTTATTTCCTCACAGCTGGTGCAGATGAGCTGGAGAGTCCGCTGAAGAGTCAGGACGGCCCGCTTGACACAGCTCTGGAGCACCTGAGGATCGGTAACGTCTTTACCTTCAGGGTGACCGTCCTGCAAGCCTCCAGCATCTCTGCAGAATATGCCGACATCTTTTGCCAGTTCAAGTAAAAATGTTTTCATTGCTCACTCCGCCTCCCACTACCCACTCTACCCTCCCCCCA